GGAGCCACCAGCTTCCAGCCTGGAGGCAGAGGGCGGGCCGCAGCCCGTGAACGGCCGGGGCCTGGCGAATGGCTGGCCGGGGAGATGCAGGACGGACAGCCCCCACATGAGCAAGAGGAGGAGGAAGGGAATGGACGGCCTTGGTGGAGAAGGAGAAGCCTGCTTCCGCCAGGACCCTCCTTGGCACAGGTGAGAACCAGGAGCCAGGCACCCTGCCTCCCACCAGCAACACCCCCCCCCATGGGTGTGGCTGGGAGGTCCAGCCTGCTGACCTGGGCGAGTGGGTGGCAGCAGCATACCTGGCCGGCACCATGCACAGGCGGTCACCTGACCCAGCCTGGCTGGCCCTGCACTCGTATCACCCGCTGGTAGGACTCTCCTGGGTGGAGCTCCAGCGCCCCCATGCTTGGCTGTGGCATGGACAGCAGCGTGACTGGTCCCCGGCCAGGCTCAGGGTGGGGCTCGTCCGGGTGACCGTGGGTCAGGCACGCCATTCAAAGGGGGAGGGAGCTGACTGCTGACGCTGACCCCAGGAGCTGCTCCCCCTCGGACGCCGAGCCAGAGGCCACGGCAGCATCTCCAAGGAAAAAGAAGAAAAAGAGAAAGCCGGAGTCCCGGCAGGAAGGAGAAGAGGAGGAGCACCCCGGAGGCTGGAGGGGCCCTGCCGTCCCCGGGAGCAGCCCGGCGCCTGCTGTCAACGGCCAGAGTCCCAGGGGCCTCTCAGGTGTGTGCCGGGCGGGGCAGGGTCCTGGGTGGAGGACTGCTTCATGGGCAACCCCTTCCAGCGGGAAGACTGGCCCAGAGCCCTGCTCTGAGTCCAGGGCGGGCGCCCCGCATGGGGGCTGCCAATGCACAGTTCACGTGTCTGCTCGCAGGGCCGGAGCAGACTCCTCGGCACTCCTGGTCCAGGGAGCGCGGCGCCAGCGTGGTGTGGGAGCTGCTCGAATGCGCGTCGGATAAGGCCTACGGGAAGAAAGGTGCTGCTCCAGCCTGGGCTTCTGTCATTTTGGGGTGGATGCTGGTGCCCCGAGCGCGCAGGTGTCACTTGGCTGTAAAGATGGGAAGAGGGTCTAAACCAGCGGCTCTCAACCTGTGGGTCGTGACCCTTTGGGGGCCGAACGACCCTTTCACAGGGGTCGCCTAAGACCATCGGAAAACACATATATAATTACATACTATTTTGTGATTAATCACTATGCTTAATGATGTTCAATTTGTAACAATGAAATTGGGAGTCACCACAACATGAGGAGCTGTATTAAAGGGTTGCGGCATTAGGAAGGTTGAGAACCACTGGTCTAAACGGTCCTGTCTGACCCATCGCACAGAGGTTAAGAACTGGTCCTCACGGGGCAGAGTTTATCTGTGGAAAGATCCAGAACAGCTTCTCCCTGGGTCCAGGGGCAGGAGAGTGGGAGAGCCCAGAGCGTGCACCCCGGGGGACAGGACAGGCCAGGAGGGAGGGGGCAACAGCACAGATAGGCCCAGCACTCAAGGGTGACTTCTTACTCACAGGCTCATTTTTATAAGTCAGACCTGGAGAAAGAACACGAGGTCTTCGTTTCTCAGATGAGGCCGAGGGTTTAGAAACAACTACACTGGGTGGGGTGGGGGTAGTTGTAGGGTGAAGGGGTCGCCTGTGTGAGGACAGAGCCGGCCAGGTGGGCTGTGGTGCGGAATACAGCGATGGACAGAGAACGGTCACCTCAGATCTAGAACCAGTGTTGTCCCGGCAAAGTTAATTGCCTTTAAAAGGAGGAATGGTGAGGGTGGTGGGGATCCGAGGGGCCACCACGCGTGTCTGTTGCAGTTCTGACGTGGGGCGGCGAGGTGTCGGCTGTCAGCCGGGATGCCATGCACGACAGCAGGTTGGCCCGCGCCTCCGCGGTGATCGACGACTGGGATGAAGAGTTCGATCGTGGGAAGGTACAGCGACCGCGGTCACGGAGGGCCTGCTTCTCGGGCCAGGTGCCAGGTTCAGGTGCTGCGTGGCCGCGGGCAGGGCCTTGGTCCCCGGTTGCTCCTGTCCCTTCATCTGTGAAGTGGGGGAGTGGGCGCCTCCCAGAGGCCGCGGGAGGAGTAAGCTTGGTTCTGTTGCGCATTGAGAGTTGTGTCGCACACACGTAGTGGCCACTGGGACCAGAGAAGCCCTCTGACAGTTGTGACACCTGTGATTCTCGAAACAGGAAAAGAAAATTAAAAAGTTCAAGAGAGAAAGGAAAAGAAACTTCAATGCCTTCCAGAAACTTCAGAATAGACGGAACTTTTGGTCGGTGACTCATCCCGCCAAGGCTGCCAGCCTCAGCTACCGCCGCTGAGTACTGCTGCCGGGAGAGGTGAGGGTGGGCTCTGGTGGGGGGGTGAGTGTGAGCGTGTGTGCGAGTGTGAGCGTGTGTGTGAGTGTGAGCGTGTGTGTGAGTGCGTGCGGGTGTGTGTGGTGGAGTGTGTGTGTGTGTGTGTGTGTGAGTGCGTGCGGGTGTGTGTGTGTGTGAGTGCGT